ATCGACGGAAAGTTTTTGTGACATTTTTCTCTACAGTGTGTGTATCAATCTAAAAGGCAGTAAAAGTAAATGAAATTTTCTAAGGTGTTCGGTATAACCAATAGTATTTTGAAATGGCTGTAAATTCAGATTTTTACCATAAAGTTTACTTGTTGTATTACAAACTTTTCGGTGTGTTTTTTACTTCTGGGTACTGGAAGTATTTTTTGGGTGTCTGAGCTGTGTGTTTGTTTGTGTGACGTTTGTACGGACTGTTTAGGTTGACAGCACATGGGTGGGAGATGATTGCCAGAATGACGGGATGTCAAAAGGTCAAATAGAGGAAATGGGGTTGAACTTAAAGATTTCAGGAAGCTGCGAGGATTGCATATTTTTTGGAAGTCTGAAATCTCTCATTTCTTGTTAGTGGAAAACTTAAAAAGGCAATACATATGCCAAAAAGCAGTTACTCAAGCAACTGGATATGATTTTGAAAACGTCAGACGTTTCAGCTAGTATCCACTAGCTTTTGTCAGTGACTGACAGACTAGAGGGGAAATGCAGGTTTATACACCTTATAAACCTTATAAACCTGCATTTCCCCTCTAGTCTGTAAGTCACTGACAAAAGCTAGTGGATACTAGCTGAAACGTCTGACGTTTTCAAAATCATATCCAGTTGCTTGAGTAACTGCTTTTTGGCGTATTGTATTACCTGGATGTTAACCTTCATCGACGTAGCGGTAAGTCTTGTTTAGAATTTATCAAACTGACAGAATACAAATCTCTAACCCTGACCAATCTGGACTGATACACCACAGTAAGTCTTAGAATAGTTTACAAACTTATTGTTTTGGAGCATTTCTCAAACATACTGTTTAATAGTCGTTTTCTTCAACTAACAAATGACAAAACTACCGCTGACTTAGCAAAGACTCGACACACAAAATGACACACCAGCTTTTTTTATACACACACCATCTGCCATGATTCAGAAAAGAAATAGCATTGTTTGTTTTTTTGGTTATCAGCCCGACAAACTTGTACTTAAGATTTTGACATTCTATAATATTTACTGTTTAATAAGTGCTTGATAATATTGTTGTTTGTTAAAGTGGATAAAAGGAAATCAGAGCCATGATTTTTTTCCTATCTGGTATGAGAATGATCTTGATTGTGGACTTGATTGAGGGTCTCTTTTCATTTCTTGGTTATCAACTGTTACAATTAATTATTATGATAGATTTAATAATGATTATTTTGCTGACTACAGAACACTCAGGAGTACCAGGACTCAGATGTGTTACCCCGGCAACACTGTTGCCAGGATACGGGCAGCTCCTACTGTCGGATGTACCTCAGCAAGCGGCCCATGCAACACAACGCTGGTTATGAGCCACCCAAGATCAGTAAGCTCGTTTGTTTGTTTATTTTGAAAGTTATACACATTCAAGTCAATTCTATCCCATAGCATACTGATGTCTGTGGCAAAATGTGATGTCACTGTAACAGTTGTATAGTTCATGACAACTTATTTTCTTATTGTTCAAGACGGGAAAAAGCAGTTATCTCTTCAATATACTGAATAATATTATTCATTTAATCGTGTAATGATTTATTTTGTATTCGCCTTTCTACTACAGTGTTAAATAAATGGCTGCTTGTTACCTTCGCCAAGAATTGGAGAAGGTTATGTTTTCCTGGCTGTGTGTGTGTGTGTGTGTGTCTGTCAACAGCATAACTCGAGAAAGCTTAGATGGATTATCTTGATATTTGGTAGATGGGTAGGTATTGATGAGAGCTCGAACTGATTAGATTTTGGGCCCCCTGGCGGCTTGTCATGGTACTGCAGCTGAACTTCCGGTTTTGATATCTCATGATCCAGACATGCTAGGGTCACGAAATTTGGATGGCAGGTAGCTCTTGTGCTGCAGAAGTGACGTGAGTTTGGGCCCCCTAGTTGCTTGTTTTGTATAATTCTAGGCTGGTTCTTGGTACTTATGGATGGTATCCAGAAAATCAAGAGATGCTTCACGTATCTTATTTTTTGGCTACTTCAACCCTTTTCAAGTATGAAATGATGACAAAAAAGTCCTAAGAAATGGCAGTAAATGTCAACATCTGACAGATTTCCTCATCCGGAATTCTTCTTTTTAGCCTTGCTGCCTTGGGATCACTTAGGATGCCTTATAATTTCATTTTAATTGTATTTTGTTACTTACGTTTCTGCTGGCTTATTTTTGCTTTTGTTTGACTTTCATTATATGTTATTATAATATTAAATGTTATTTCGTTGTCCGGGTTGTCCCCCAGGAATACTTTGAAAAATGTCTGAAGGCGATAAGTCTTCCTGAACACATTAAAGAAAGATAATTACATGTATATCATTTTTATATGGTCAGACAGGAGTCTAAATCTCTCATGCTGTAAAATTGCAACATGATGTAAGCCAACACCAGTTACCATGGTGACAGACATCTGGTCCAGGTCATTGACCTTATTGGTTTTGAGAAGAGAAGAAGAGGAAACAGAATAAAAAAATATGTTTTCCTTTAGTAAACATGAAAACTTAAGACACCTTTCTTCTGTCTTCCTTCAGGTGCAGGAGCAGGTGACCCTCACCTGACGACCTTGGACGGACTGTCCTACTCGTTCAACGGTTACGGGGAGTACCTCATGGCCAACACCACCGATAGCGCCCCCCGGGGTTTCCTCATGCAGGGCAGGACTGCGCTAGCTGATGTAGAGGAGGGGAAAACACCACTGGCTACAGTATTTAGGTAAGCACTGAGTGTGTAGTGTACAAACAAGACAGCTTTTAAAAAAAGTTGGTCGATCTTATGTTGTTCTAACAGAATGGTCGATGCCAATTGGTTGCAGTGTTATGGGATGTGAACACCACAACGTAAAAGATTTAATCACCACTGGTATAATTATACACTTCGGCAAAATATACTACACCTGCGCAAAATTCGTAAATGTATTGTGCATAGCACTTTGGCAGTACGTCTCATATAAGGACTGGTTGTATTAACATCTCATCTGTACTTTCCAAATGCTTGGTCGGAAAATATGTCATCTGGAATGGGCAAAATTCTGCTGCAAGGCTAACATCAAAATTGAAAATCATAGTGGGCACAGTAAACTGCAGACATGCTTATACAAACATTTACATAAAAGGTTATATAAGTCATTAAAAAAGTCATAACCAATATGAAATGTAACTTCTGATTTGTCAACATCATCTGGCTATCTGATAATGTAATACTACAATGTATATTAATCTCAGAATATATTTAAAACACTGTATGATATACAACAATTTGAAAGTTCTTTGTTCAGGACCAAGGATGTCACAGTCTAGCTGCAACACAAAGATGGCTAGAACCAGTCGGTAAAAATGTTAGAAGAAGTTTCTGTACAGTCATTTACCAGTCTGATAAAAATCATTTGCAGACTATAGAATTTCAGTAATTGCATATTGTTTTTTTCTTTATTTTTCAGCGCCATTGCTGTCCAGCAGGGCAGTGCCAGTGTACAGCTGTACCTGGACAGCACAGGCTCTAGTCTGGACGTGTATGTGGACAGCACACAGATCGCGCTGTCTGACATCGCCAGCGGCAGCAGCAGTCAGTTCAGCGATGGGGAATTCCAGCTGATCACAGGTACGATAATCATTGTGTTTCCTGACTGTGGTGTACTGATTATAGGAGGACTGTTATGTAGTAGAATGATCTGTCTGCTTTCTTCAGACTTGTAACCTAGGTACTCCCAGTGATGATCTAGAGTAGGATTGTTGACTTACTATCTAAAGGTTCTGGGTTTGAATTTAATGTTGTACCCCAACATAATTGTGTCCTTGAGAAAGACACTTTACACTATCTCATGTTGTGTCCTTGAAAAGGATCTTTACACCTGTTTTGTGTCTTTGAGAAAAGCACTATAAATTATACTTAGTAATACAATGTACTTGACAGTGTTACCTGTACACATGATGTCTGTTTCTTCTTTTTTCACTCTTATTTTGTACCCACTCCAACCTTCCTCTGTAATTATCCAAGAACCAATAAGGTGTGGTATAAAGACAACATTTCTGAGAAAATAATAATTCTCTATATTATTTCAGACAAACTTATGTGCTAATTTGAAGTTTGTACTTCTGTTGTCCCCCAGATTCCTCCAGTGGTGCTGTGACTGGGGTAAAGGTCATCTTCACCTCCGGAATCTCTGTACAGGTGTGTATGCCTGACACATATTTATTTATAAATCTTGTACTAGACATATGGATAGACTCCTCTCAGTCAAAATAGGACTGACTTTGAAGGTAGATTGACAGGTAAACAATGATTTTGATGTTTAAAGTTAAAACTTTTGGTCCAACACAAAAATTCTCTCACCTAGAGCTTTCGACCAGTCACTCTGGTCTTCCTCAGTAGACTGACCCAGTGAAGCTTGTCACGTGGCTTCTTTGAAGTGTGACGTCAACACTGGGTCAAAGGTATCTGGTAGACGATGTCAACCCTCGCCGCGGTTCAATGTTTTAACTTTATGTCATGTAACTACCAACACAGATGAACTTTCATGATAATGATTTTGATGGTTTTACAGAATGTTATGCAGAATTCAAAATTATTCCACTATCACTCACAGGTTTTGGGGTAGAGTTGATTCAACTTAAAATATTGACCAGAAAATTAACTGTCTTTGAAAATCCAGTTTCCCCCATTGCATGCCGATAAGATTATGCAATTGAAGATTGGCTTGTATCAATTATTTCCAACAATTTGTTTGTAAGATCGTGTTTCCTTTTAACTGTTACATGCACTATAATACTGTAACTTTAGCCAAAAGGCTTAGAATACTTTTACCACAAACCATTTATTCATACATTTACTTATTCATACATAAACTAATTCAACTTGATCATTGATTCATTCCCTTTCACCTTTTTTTCCCTCCATCTCTAAAGAATGACATAAAATAAATACATACAAGTACATACATGACACACATTGATGTGCAGCACTTTATTATGTATGCTGCTATGTAATAGACAACTATAACGTACACAAGTGATTAGAAAAAAAAGATAATTCATTCCCTCCCTCCCTCCCTCAGGTTGATGCTGGTCTGAACATGCTGACCTATGCCGTCTCCATGACCCCTGACCTGAAGGGTCACATCAAGGGCATGCTGGGTAACTTCAACAGCGACAACACCGACGAATTCTATTGGCCGAATGGAACTGCGGTTGCCATTAGCAATGCAACAAACCCAGCGGAGGCAGAGACGTTTCCATGGGGACAGGCCTGTAAATAACTTTGTTTGTTTGTTTGGATAACACTAAGGATTTTGGATCTATGGAAAACAATCTAATAGTATTATCCATTTCGCATGCACCAAGGCACATACAGAAACTGAAAATCACTGAACATTCATAACTTTATATATTAAATTTTCTCTAAGATATACATTCAAAACTGAGCAATTTTTTATCAAAAGCTGTAAGTTTGTAGCATAGCTTTCCATTGAAACGTATTTACTACAAGCAACATTTCAGCACTAGGGACAGAGCCCTTTTCAAAGAACAAGTCCCTACAGGTTTCCGAAAAAGCCCCAATATTTGTAAAGACCTGAATTAAATCATAATCCTTTGTCTAAGTAAGGCTATACCAAGTTGATTTGTTGGTTCTTGGATATTGTAGAAGAAAATATGGTGACGGGGCAAAAAAAAACAGGCCTAGGCATCCTATCATAGCTCCAAATACTACAATCTTAATCATCAAGGTAACATACCTGGCTAACTTATATACATTATTATTTTGTACATGTTAAGTTCAAACAATAAATTTAGAAAGTTAATTTAAACCAGTGCATTGATAGATAACTGTGACAAAGAATACTTTTTTTTTGCGAAAAAAAAAATGAAGTGGGCAAATCCAAGCATGAATAAATGAATGAACTTTATTGCTCCATAATCCTACATGGTACCATGTGTGGCAGTAAGACAACAATACTACAAAACTAAACTACATGTACCTTATTTTGATTACATTTCTTACTACAAGCTACTATCCATAAAGTACCTGAGTTACAACATGGTTATGTATTGATGATATGGTCTCGCTTATGAAACAAAGTGTACAGAGATTGGCCTACGTACGCAGGCAGATATGGTAGCTGGACATAACAACAATTTATGGAATGTATCCTTCTGTGTACCAGATAGGGTGAAGCATCAATTGATTATTTGGTGTAGAAAAAAGAGAAATTTTTTAAGAAGTTTTTTTTTCCCTTTCTCCCAGGGGCATTACCAAACTACGCTGCAGCTGAGCTGACCACAGATCCGGCCGACATCTCGCTGTTCAGCGTTTACCCCGCGGGTCAGACCGCTGCAACCTACGGCAACCTGACCTTTCAACCTCTGTTCTTTGACCTTGACACCATGTTTGCTACTGAGGCAGACAAGTTGAGAGCTATCGAGGTGAAAAACTTTCAGTACTATGTTTAAAATTACCTGATTTTGGGCTGCTTTTCTCAAGAAAAGAAAAGAATTTTAATGCTAACAACTTTGATTCATAAGTCCTCATTGCTTTCATATTTAGGTACATCTTTGTGATTGTGATTATGAGTTATGATTTCTCGATTCAAAATATAATCAAATTAAATGAATTGTGTTATTGGTGCCTTGGTACTATGGAACTGGTACATTGTACAGTCAGCATAGTCCATTACAAATGTAAAATTATGATATTATAGCATTACCGCCACAGCCTGTTCTTCCAAAAATATTGTTTAATTGATTGATTGATGGCAAATTGAATCCTTTTTAGTCTTTCATTATATTTCCAAATGTTTCAAAAAGAGAGAAGAAAGGGCAACTAACAGTAGATGATAGGTAGTATATAGTATTGTTATAATGTATAAATTCCTAGCAATTACCATTAGAATATAGCGTTCCAGTATGCAATACTTAATATATTTTGCATACTGCATACATGTACCCTCTTGTGCATTTAGCCCATCTGGGCAAGAACATGCAATAAAGATTCATATCATATCATCAATTTGTGCTGTAGGTATAACTGCATGTCAATGATATTGTTGGTAATCATTGCATATAGGCTAGTAGGTTAAATCGTACAATTTATAGTACTCAAAAGATTATGTATTATAACAGCATGAGAAATTTTTTGTTTGATTGGTTTATTTTTTGATTGGTTGATTGATTGACAGGTTTGTGGCAGTGCCACTGCTAAGGAATGTCTGTTTGACATCGCGCTGACCGGGAACGAGGCGGTTGGAGCTGCAGCGGCTGCTGCACTGGAGGCGGTTGCCAGCAGCAACGCTGCTCTGGGTAGGTTTTTCCATATTCATTAAGTGTTTCACTATCAAGCTCTATTGCTAGATATCTAGTCACACATTTCAGTAGATTTATCATTAGTCTTAATGAACTGTTACAATATAATTTTGTGTTTACTTGAGGTATCATCATGTCCTAGTCAAAACTTTAAGTACCCATAGTGATTCAAATTGGTAATTAGTGAAGATGTACGAATTTTACTAAATGCAATAATTCCAAGTCTTGAATACCATTAATTCTATGTTACCTTATTATTAAAATAAATAAGAATTGACACTCAGGTAATGAGATAACACTGGTCATCTCAATTTAGGAAAGTCACTGGCCATTTGGAATGTCAAGTAAAAATTTACATTTTGCATTCAAGTTTCACATCAGTGCGCAGGTCTTGATGTAAGGAGTATAGTGATATGAAAATTATTGTTCTGCAGTATTCATAACTTTAGATATCATTTATAGAAAATGCAAGCAGACCGACGGGTTTTTCAGCACCCCGACAGGGCTAGCAGCTACCCCGTCAGGACCAAATCACAGGACCGTCGGTGTAAAGTACTCACCCCGTCGGTGTAAGGTACTCACCCCGTCGGGGTGACACTGTCATAATCACTAAACCCGACGGGGTAATGTCACCCCGACGGGGTGGGAGTTCTGGTCAAAGAGGTGCAAAATCCCAAAACAAAGCCAGGAAAGGTGTAAATTGATCAGTCTATACACACCGACGGGGCAAGTTTACCCCGATCGGGGTGAGCTCTGATCCCGTCGGGGTGAGCTCAGACAGTCATCCAATCCAATTGATGTGCAAAATCGACATTATCAGGACAAAGAATAAGCATAGAGAGCACAATCCACACTCTTCTATCTGCCCCTTTCAGCCAACTATAAGGGTCACAAAAAAGAAAGATTCCAGAGAGCTTACAAACACATACTCACTACTCCAAAGCTAATGTCTAATAGAATTTTACCGACATGATCAATATTGACTGAAGGAGGCCATATAAAATAATACTTAAATTTATTTCCTTCAGTCTATTTGTAAGAATTGAGATGTAGAACACACAGGTCTTGCAAATAAATTGATCAAGTTCCTCAATTGCTATTACACTGGCCACAATATTCGGGGATCGAAATTAATGGCTTAGGCCACACCAATTTAATTTCTTGGTTAACGGATTTTTCCAGAAAAATAATGGAGCGGGCGGGCGAAAAAAAAAATAAAAATAAAAACAGGCCTAGGCATCCTATTATGGCCCAAAATGGTACGATAGGAGCCATGAAGTCAACACACCAGGCTGGTTCAAAATTTAAACAATGAATTTTGAACTTTTAATGATAGATTGCATTGAAAGATGGAATAACTGTAACAAGTAGGATGAAAAGGACTGTTTTTAACTGTTCAGGGCATAATATGAGCATTTTGCAGTTGATTCTGAATTTTTATTTTTATTTGCAAATCAGAAAAAAATGAAGAGGCGAATCCGTTAACCAAGAAATTAAATTGGTGTGGCCTTAGCAGCTGAAAACAGTCAGTCGTTCTTGTGAATATTGCCCACAAATTTTCATATGGTCATAATCGTGTCATATAATGAGCAAAATGCCTTAGCTGGTCAAGAATGGGAGCAATCTCTGATAATTGTCACAAAAAAGGGAGGTTCTCTCTTTTACCTCCTTTGTCTGAGTGGAAGGAGGCCCTTTGTTATAATGTCTGTCATTCAAAATACACACTGCAAGCAGTGCAAATCAGGACTCACTATTCTTCTCAGATATTTGGAGGCATCATGATAAGAAATATGTTGAGAAACTAGGAAGTTGGAACATACATTAATTTTGAACCTTGGTACCACCAGGTGCAGAGTATTTTTGTGAGGATGTCATGAAATCTTTAAACCAAGGAGCTTTAAAAAGCTTGGTGTGACTTGCTGAGAAACTTGACATCGTGTGTATTTTGTCCCATTGTTCTGTCTGAGACAAGTTAATTGGCTGCATTGTTTACTTATTGAGACTTTTTACAGCGAAAGGAGCTTTCATCAATTTTAATGAAAGCTCTTTGCAGCCACTTATAATAATAGGTAGACACACAAGCGGCCATTGGTGCCCTACAAAATAGTCTACTGAGTACATCCTACATTCATATTTCATGGCTGGAGAAATACTTGAATGATGTGTTTTTGTCTACTGTATAACTACTACGGTCAAAATGTACTTCTGTAAATGGGGAGAAACGACACTTTGGGTGGGTGGGGACATTTTGTAGCATGGTCTGTTCCATCAAGGTCCTTGGTTCCATTTGCTGTAGGATCTCCAAGCAGATCCTATACTGTGACAAAGCTGACAGCCTTGTCACAGTAGGATCTGCTTGGAGATTATAGGTCGGTGGGTGTGATGTTTGAAGAAAAAAGTGATTTTGCCCTTCTCCGATAACTTTCTTTTCTACAGACCCTGGAGTATTTTCTACATTACAACCACAGCAATGATATACAAATGTACTAGTATTTCTATGCAAGAAGGTATAAAATGAAATTTAATAGGGAGGACACCATTACTGTCCTTTCAAAGAGTTTGCCTCAGGTGTGCAGTTCCAACTTCACGTTGACGTGCCAATTACCCCCAATTTACGTAATGTGCACTGGCTTGGGTTGGCTTGAGAGTTGAGACCTTTGTTTTTGTTCAGAGAACTGTGGTGACTGGAAATGAAGTACTAGCTCCAAGCAGATCCTAAGGTGGCAAAAAGAAATATGAAATTGGCCAGGCAGTATCCATCGGCCAGAGAGGGTCCAATTTTCCTTGGGTTGGAGATAAGAAATAAAGGACAGTATCCTGACCAAGAAGGTTTATTGCAAGTCAGATATCCAGCTGTTATTAGATTGTGCCTGGTCAGTTTCAACCTGTCGACTCACCCAGAAAACTACAACTTTGAGTGGGTTGATTTTGATTTTAGCAAATTTTCAGGGAAGAAGAAGGAATTTCAGTGGCAAAGCAATCAGAATCCCATAGACTTTTGAGACAGTAGGGACAGAGGGTTCAAAAAGTGGGGGGGGGGGAATGTTAGCTTATTTAAGTCACTAAATTTGCCCACTACATGCTCAACAGTTGTGCTAGGTAGATAGACCTCTCTGATGTGCCTGGTAAATGCAACTACTTGTACATACCAGGATGCATTATTAACAAGTATCCAATGCATGAAATTTATATACAACTAGTACTGGTTTCCAAACCTGGCTCATGCTAATAATTCAGTCATTAAAATCTTTAAACAGTGGCTAAAATATTCCTTAGAATCTAGCCAACATGGTTAAAGTTTACCTATTCGCTATTGTAAGCACTATTCACATGACATTAATCAAAATGCCAAACAAATGGATAAACCTGGAATTTGCTTATATTCAGTCTTTGTTTTGGTCCGTCCATATTGGGGCAAATTATTCTTGTGTTGGCGGCCATGTTTTTGACTGTGAAGTTGAAATATGATTGAAATATTGGAAAGTTGTTCCAGATTATTTCCAGTTTTGGCAACAAAATACTAGACTAAATATATATAAATATGAGCCTAAATACTTAGACTAAGTAGATAAGCAAGAAGCCTAATATTCACAACTTGAGCCTGCTTTCAAAGCAAGGAATTATACAATCCTCTATTTCTGTCCAACAGTACCCATCCGGTAATTATTCTGCTCCAGGTACAATTGTTATGCGGGTTAAAACTAGGTCAGCTATTGTTCTTGACATGCAAATGTCACTGTCCAATTATCAACTTGATACAAATTATCCTATAAGGGAGTGTGTTACATGCCAAATTACTGGTAGTATCTCGGCAGCTTGTACTGGGTCACCCAGGAAAAGCCAGGAAGATAGCCCATGTGAAAACTAAAGAACATTGTAATTGACTATTTGGCCCTTCATCCAGTCAGATTTTCTGCTATCTGGCACCTAACATTGCACTTGGCCATGGGTTTATAGATACATGTAGTAGTATGTGTATTTTTGTTTGCTGCATTGACTGTTAGCACCTATGAAGTATAAAAAAATAATAGCAATGGTTACAGATTTTATTATGATGCATACTTCTCAAAGTCTGAGTAAGGCCACACCTATTTAATTTCTTGGTTATCGGATTTTCTAGAAAAATAACGGAGCGGGCGGAAAAAAAATAAAAATAAAAACAGGCCTAGGCTTCCTATTATGGCCCAAAATGGTACGATAGGAGCCATGCAGTCCGCACACCAGGCTGGTTCAAAATTTAAACAATCATTTTGAACTTTTAATGATACCATTGCATTGAAAGATGGAATGACTGTAACAAGTAGTAAGGAAAGGACTGTTTTCAACTGTTCAGGGCAAAATATGAGCATTTTGCAGTTGATTTTGAATTTTTATTTTTATTTGCAAATCAGAAAAAAATGAAGCGGTGAATCCGTTAACCAATAAATTAACTTGGTGTGGCCAAAGTGCAAGCAAAATTTTTCTTCTTTGTCTGGTGCAGGTTAAATGTTTACTGCACCAGTTCAGGTATGCAGTGAAAAATATTTTGAGCCCTGGGGTATTCTGCTAATGATAGATGAGTTTATCCATGGAGTTTGAAAAGTTGTTATCAACGTTTATTAAATTTTTAGCCATGTCCAAACTCTATTCTTAGTGTTAGCCAGGTTAGAGGTTATAACCTCCTTGCTAGAATTCATCCTACAGTGAGCTAGGTATTGGTGGACAAAGACTAGATTTTTAACCTCCTTGTTAGGACCTACACATGTACAGGATTGTACACGTCATGTACATATATATGGCACTCATGTGGAGCAGGTTGACTGGTCAATCATATCCATTCCTGCCATGTCAGAGATATCCATGACTCATTTGTATCTTTGAAGACAATGTTCTTTCATAATCCTGGAAAATAGAGTCTAGAAAAACTGCAGGAATACACACAGAACTACAATAATGAAGTGATATAATAAACTGTGTATAAACCGCCATCAACCTAGAAGCAAGTTTAATGTTAATCTTTTAAACTTCATTGGGAAATTACTTTCAGTCTGGTCTGAAGGCTTAGGCCATTAGCCCAGCCTGTTCATCCTAGCTGACACACCGACGGGGCTGTTCAACACACCAACGGGGCTGTTCAACCCCGTCGGGGTAACCTTTGAGCCCAGACTTCTCGTGAATTATCACACAAACTTGCTAATTACACTGGTGTGAAGATGTGAATTCTCATTAATTCAGTGGTTTTCATGGGGTGTTCATGAGGATAATTGGATGCGGTCTGGGTGCGGGGTGGTTTTCCACCCCGACGGGGTAGAGTTTACTACCGACCGGGGTGGGCTTCTGATCCCGTCGGTGTGGCTTGTACACCGACGGGATTGCAATTTTTAAAGTGAAATATCTTGACAAATATGTATGTTTTGACCATAAAAAAATAACCTGGTACTGAGGATAACATGATCTTTCAAATGGTATGTAAAAATTTACTTTACCTGCAGAAATGGCAAAGTTGAAAATCAGGGATTTCAACATGGCCGTCTGCAAATTCGGAAAGTGACATTCCAAAATTGAAGTGACCAGTGTTAGATACACAAGAAAAAGGTTATTCAATGACAAGAAATTGAATAGATTTTGAGAACTGTTAGATGTTTTCAAGCTGCACCTACTCTGTATCCTTTTCATCATTGACTAACAAAAAGTAGTAAATACTACTCGAAATGTCTGTCAGTGACAATTTTCAAAATCTAAGCTTGAGTAGCTGTTTTCCTGTGCGTTTTCTGGTTTGGTTCTTTTTCCTTTCATGCCTTCTGGCATACTCATTTTGATCTGAGCAAAGTGAGAAAAGTTGTGTTTAGTGCCTTTCCAAAGGGCACAAGGTTGGTGACTTTGCAGGATTTGAACCCAGGACCTCTTGTTGCTGCGCCAAATGCTCTGCCATTAACTTACGCCACACAACCTTATGATTTCTAAGTCATTAATCAGACTCTTTTTCTGACAGACAACACCCCGCCTGAGTTTAATGTGACATCGGAGGTTCGTGTGACGGTCGGACAGGAGTTCGGCCTGCAGCTGGAGGCTACGGATGACGGGACCGTCACCATCTCACTACAGGATGGGACACCGGGAACTATCAACGCTACAAACTACTACACGTGAGTATGAATCTAAGGTTACCATTACGGTAGTATAGAGCAGTTTCTGAGGTCTTTTTGAATGTCTAGAAAATAAGAGTTTAGTTTACATGTACATGTGAACCTTGATATTTTGAAGATATATTCTTGTAAAATGATAATTTATGCATATTAATAATAATATATTTTTGTCGGCATCACTACCACGCCTACTAAAAATGGCTATTTTGAGCCATTGTTCTCAAGTTATCATCATGATTAACACATATTTATTTATCACATAGCAAAATTACATTGAACAATCAGACAGCTCCATTTCCCCAATAACCCAGTTCATTATAAATATCCAATATACTGACCCCCGAATACGTGTTTTGTTCCACGGGTAACTGTTTTGAACACGTAAAACTTTGATGATGAAAAGGGCATAATCCAGCGTGGTCATTTATTGAGCTGTTATAGAAACCGACAATGTATTATAATTATGATGCTGTATACATCTCAGGGTGGGTCAGTAACCCTCTACTATAGCATATTCTAACTTGTAACCCTACACAAACACTTAGTACAGGACTTAATTAGAAGTATCAAAGCCACAAAAGAAGTTAAACTATATCATCTCTATAACCAGATGGACTCCTACAGACACCACAAATGTGACTATTGAGTTCCTGGCTACTGACGATGCCGGCGCAGCAACACTTGCCTCTCCTGACGTCACTGTCTGCTCCTGTCACAACAACGGTTTGTTTGTTTATTACCTCCATGAAAAATGGAGGTATTGTTTTTGGCGTGTGTGTGTGTGTGTGTGTGTGTGTATGTGTGTGTGTGTGTGTATGTGTGTTTTCGCACATTTGTAGTCAGCATAACTTCAGAACGCCTTTATGGATTGTTATGATATTTGATATGCTGGTAGGTCTTAGGAAGCTGAAGGTCAAGGTCAAATATGGGCCTCATGGTGACTGACCTTGGTACTGCAGCAGAACTTTTGAATTTTGAGGGAAAACAGATGGTGCCGGTTTAATGTAAAACACTGGTCAGGCAGCACGCCTACCCGGGTTTGATTGATGAGGTCCCTATGGAATAGACTACATGTACTGAGTTGACAGCCTGACCTATTTCAGGGCAAAAACCTGTGTTATTTTGTTACCTCCGGGTAGGGATGTACATCCCGAGCGCGGAGGTTTTGTGAGGGAAGACGAAAATTGCGTTCGCACCCGTTTCTCGCGTTTGGGTGGACGGATATGTCTGGGAGTTGGTATACGTTTTGCTGTTGGGCTGTAGATGGTGCACGTTGTTTCGGTTTTTTAGTATGTGTGTTTTAGTGCGTCAAAATGATGCATTTAGACCGCCGATGGACACCCCTTTCAGTGTGAAAGTGGACCTCAGCTTTTGACCTTTGCATGTATAAGGACGATTGAGGTCGCGACCACTGATCTGACCTTTCACACAGAGGGGTGTCAGCATTGTCGATAAATTCTTTCTTTGAAACTGTTCAGATGTGAACCACATGTGCCGTCAATCAACGTCTCATTATCGTGCCCGTGCCGGAAACGCCGGCAGGCCGGCCGTGTCTGAAACAGGGCTGCTATTCACACTGATATCTAAACAAACACATGGCGGCACGACCTGAATATATCACCGCCACTTGTGCTAACCGTGGCAAATATGTCGCTGTTCTTAGCTGCCTGCCGCGGTTTGGTACCGGTTAAATCTAACAGGAATCAATGAAACCTTGCTGATAAGATTGCGATTTGTTTTCGAAAATATTATTTTGTCTCGTGTTTGTAACGTTCGCTCAAAATGAGGTTCTAAGTTTTAACCGTAACATGAAAGATATGAACACGCTTCTGTGCATGTTTTGATGGGTTTTTTTTACGTGATTTGAACTAGTGTGGGATAAGTGGGGAGGGATGGCAGCCGCGGGGGGAAGCGTAGCGGCTTGATACATTTTCGAGAGCAAGTTCCGTTCCGCGCACTGGAGTTGATCGCTGGTCGCTGAGGGTCGGGCAGCCAGATTCGCCACGGGATGCCCCCTGTCCTTTCTATTTTTGGGCTCCAGTCGGCTAGGGGGGATTAGTGATTTCACAGATCATTTAGCCAATTACAAACATTTCGAAACTTTTCGAAAAACTAAAACTGAAACTGTTTTTTTATTCACATTGATTGGCAGCCAATATTCATTGCTTGGCTGAATTGCACAAGTGATTACATGTTAAAATAGCTTGAAAAGAGATACACATTAAAAAGCACAACATTGACGATTAAAATTAAATAGATTTAAAATTTTGTAGCTCAGGTCCATTAAAACAGAGGCGGACTATTTACAAATCTTGATTGCTGAGGCTTATTGCCTGAAACAGAAAAGGTTTCCTCAGTCTTTCAGTTCTGAACTTCGGAACGGAGATGTGGTTTCCATTTCTCAGGGACCGCCGTGTGCTCTGGTGTCTGTCGCAGGGCATCAAAGAATGCAAAGTGTGGCTGACATGCCGCATTTGCTTGAGCAGAGTTTTTGCTGCAGTTTCCCGTCTGTCCTGGAGGGTGGAGAAGGGGGTTGTTTGAGTACTGTTGCCGTAGGATTCTCGCCGCCCTTCTCTGTACAGCCTCAAGAGTGTTGTTCTGTTTTGTGTTACAGCCCACGTACACGACATTTGCATACTCTAACACAGGTCGTATCAGAGTCGTATACACAGTTTCCAGGTCCTCTGGTGGCATCCCGCCCTTCTTGAGCATGCGGAGAAAGTGAAGACGGGTTGAGCCTTTCTTTGCCATGTGTAAGATTTGGCTGTCCCACCCAAGGCTGCGGTGACGTTTGAAGCCCAGATACGTGGCACATTCAACAACCGGGACTTCTTTGCCTCCAAGTGTGAGGGGAGGTGGAACAGGTGGATTTTTTGAAAAGCACAGTCTCAACTCATAGGACTTATCCCCGTTCATAATCATATTGTTCTTGTTCGCACAGGTGTCAAGTTGCGTAGCTTCCTCTTGCATAGTTGTGTCACGTGGTATTCGCGTGAACACACACACACCCAGACACCATTCACTAATTTAAAGAACAGTCCCAACATGCACCCAACATTCTGCAACATACATTACAATACCCGGAGGTACAAAATCTACGATTTTCCTTGTTCTGTACTGTAGTGTAGTGTGCTGTGTAAACACATTACAAAAACTGTTACAAAAACTCATATATTTCATGCAAAAACTCATATATTTCTTGTTTGTTTGTTTGTTGAGATCTCATGTAAATTGGTTTAATGGTGACCCAATGAACAATTGAACTTAACATTATGGAATCTGATCTATTTATCAGATTTGATTTGATTTGATTTATTGAAATTGTAACAATACAATACAGGCAGCTGTTGCTGGTGTTGTGTCCCACATAAACAAATATCTTCTTGGCTTGGCTTAAACAAATAAACAAATATAGGACAGGACAATACTCATTTTCACCTGAGCGAAGTGAGGAAATTCACTGGTAGAGCCGAAAATGTCTATAAAATGTTAAACGGACAATAGACCCTTTTTGGACATTCTCGAAAATGCCGGACATTTTTCAAACATTTCTAAGAATGTCTGAACAAGGGCTTTACAGGGTCTTTTTTGGGAGGACTTGCTTGTTGTGTTTTCCATTGTTCTTGAGGTGTCTGTCAGAATGTCTTTAGAAAAAAAGTGTGAAAACTGGCATGCATATGAAAAGCACTGCACAAAGCCAAGACAATTTATAGGGGAGGACACCATTAATTAATAGACAGATGCTAATGCTCATTGTGCTAAACAAAGGACTGTCTCCTAGGGGTGTCCCTACCTGACGTGTGAAGAGACTATGGATATAAAATGTCCACCTTGGGTTATTTCGATGTCGTTTTTCAGTAACTATGTCTACTTAATGTTCTCCCGACTTGCCTTTGTTCAGCAATGTCTAAATCATGTCTATTGTCCGTTTAACATTTTATAGACATTTTTGGCTCTACCAGTGTAAAGTTGTGTTAAGGGCCTTTTCCAAGGGCACAAGATTGATGGCATGTCGGGACTCGAACTTGTGACCTCTAAGCACTCTGCTGTTGCTCCATATGACCCACAATAAAACTAATAAACCATATAATCCATATCACACAAAAGACTTGAATGTGTAATTGGGTGGCTCTGTTTCCATTTTTACGTGTTGGCTTGTAACTGTTTTCCCTGTGATATTCAGGCACATGCAACTGTGAAGCCCTGTTTTCCCTGTGATATTCTGGCACATGTAACTGTTAAGCCCTGTTTTCCTTGTGATATTCTGGCACATGTAACTGTGAAGCCCTGTTTTCCCTGTGATATTCAGGCACATGTAAATGTCAAGCCCTGTTTTCCTTGTGATTCAGGCACATGTAACTGTAAAGCCCTGTTTTCCCTGTGATATTCTGGCACATGTAACTGTGAAGCCCTGTTTTCCCCGTGATATTCAGGCACATGTAACTGTGAAGCCCTGTTTTCCCTGTAATATTCAGGCACATGTACAGTAACTGTGAAGCCCTGATTTCCTTGTGATATTCAGGCACATGTAACTGTGAAGCCCTGTTTTCCCTGTGATATTCAGGCACATGTAACTGTAAAGCCCTGTTTTCCCTGTGATATTCAGGCACATGTAACTGTAAAGCCCTGATTTCCTTGTGATATTCAGGCACATGTAACTGTGAAGCCCTGTTTTCCCTGTGATATTCAGGCACATGTAACTGTAAAGCCCTGTTTTCCTTGTGATTCAGGCACATGTAACTGTGAAGCCCTGTTTTCCCTGTGATATTCAGGCACAAGTAACTGTGAAGCCCTGTTTTCCCTGTGATATTCAGGCACATGTAACTGTAAAGCCCTGTTTTCCCTGTGATATTCAGGCACATGTAACTGTAAAGCCCTGATTTCCTTGTGATTTTCAGGCACATGTAACTGTGAAGCTCTGTTTTCCTTGTGATTTTCAGGCACGTGTAACTGGGAAGCGACCCTCGCTGAGCGGAGTAACGGGTTTGCGGTGGCGTCCTGCAACTGTCTGCTGGGGTTTGACGGGGACGAATGTGAGACAGACACCGACGGATGCTCTGTCACACCCTGCTATCCTGGTCAGTAGGAGTGAGGGAATAAATGAATAAATTTTTAAAGAATGAATATATTAAGCAAAGCTATATTTTTTAAGAATGAATGAACCAAAGTATGAATGAATGAACATGCAAATAGTATTCTGGTGAGAAATAAGGTTAAATATGTTGCTTATTAATTTAGTGATTTCTTGATTGATTGGATAAGTGATAGAATGAGTGATTGATTCATTCTGTCTTTCTTTCATGAAATTGCAACGGCAATACACATGGAGCACTAGGCAGCAAATTCAACTGACTCTGTGCTATACACATTCCAAATTTTTTTACAAATGGTTACAATGTAGGTGCAAGCAAAATTACATTGAAATACAAAAATATCTGTACAATAAAAACAGACTGATTGGTTATATAAAATATAGGTTTTTAATTGCAGAACATTTTACAGCCCAAAGGCTAAACTACATATCTCGTACAGGACAAAAAAACAACTGACACATTAAATCTTAATGTACTGGTTGTTAACAGTTTCGATAAAAGAATTGATGAAAATAAAACACTAGAGTTCCACGATCTCATACCTTCGCCAAATGATGTTAGCCTTTATGAATAAGAAATATACTAATCACCCTGATTATGCAAATAGGATCCTCAATTGCATGAATTATATCAGTCTGTTGATCATATTCTCCACCAAAAGACAGTCTTATCTTAACAAAGAATGCCATTTTCTCATAAATTATGCAAATGTGGTCCTTATTTGAATAAAGTTATGTTTAATTATGTTCACCTTCACTTAACTTTCAAACACCCGAAGTATGAAATTCCAGGCAGTTACCACTATGCAATTATAACATTTTCTCATTAATTATGCAAATTAAGTCTTCATTTGCATAATCGATATTTGCATGTGTTTCGTTCTTAATAACATATGTTACAAGCTTGAACTTCCTATCATGGAATGCAGCTGATTTATAGAATTTCCTCATTAATTATGCAAATTACATCAATATTTGCATAATTGTAATATCATTATGTCAAGCATCACTTAAGCTACCTACATACCAAAAATCACGATGATCCATCAGTCGGTTCTTGAGTTATCCTCTTTTAAACATTTGTCCTTTAAACCCCCCTGCAGTTCTAGAGCAAGCAACTAGGGGGCTCATACTCATGTCACTTCATCCCCAGCACAAGAGCTATCTACCATCTAAATTTTGTCACCCTAGCATGTCTGGATCATGAGATATCAAAACCGGAAGTTCTGCTGCAGTACCATGACAAGCCGCCAGGTGGCCCAAAATCTAATCATTTTGAGGTCTCATCAAGACCTACCCACCTACCAAATATCAAGTCAGTCCATTTAAGCCTTCTCAAGTTATCGTGTTGACAGACACACACACACACACACACACACACACACACACACACATACACGAACGCCTCTGAAAACATAACCTTCTTGGCGAAGGTAATAATAGTAGTAAGCGTAACAATAGAGTACAGTGTAACATTACAAAGCAGTAATTCATTCTTACAGTTACTGTAGTTTATCGTTTCGATTACAAAGTGCTGTTTAAATTGATTGATTGATTAGTTGATTGATATCCCCCAGGTGTGAGTTGTACAGACGCCCCTGCCCCTCTGGCAGCAGACTCAGCCGGCTACATGTGCGGTGCCTGTCCGGCAGGTATGGTTGGTGACGGTCAGTCCTGCGCCGACCTGAACGAGTGTCTGCTTCTGCCGAACGAGACGGACGCCCATCAGTGTCAGAACGCCGTGTGTAACAACGAGGCTCCGGGGTACAGCTGTGAGTGTCTGACAGGGTACACCATGCTCGCAGACAACAGGACTTGTGTCGGTAGGTTATGCCTCAATGTAGCACGTCGTAAAACCTGTAATGTATTGTGCATAACACTTCCATAGAACTTCTCATATAAGGTCATATTAGCGTATATAAGGACAACACTCCAAAGTTTCAAAATGTTATGTCCAAGGCAAAATTTTGAGGCAACATTAACTAAAATCCTAACAAAAACCATGAAAATTCAGGGTAGCGGAGACGCGTACTGCGTCTGGGCAATACCCTGAATTTTCTTGGTTTTTGTTGGGATTTTAGATTCTGCCAATCTGCTCCTCATGTGGACTCCATAGGGCCTATATAAATGTAAATGTCAGAGACCACATGACAACATAATGGTTGTCCCTGGTGCTGAAATTGTTGTTGTTGTTCTATCACTGAATTCTAATTGAAATTTTTGTCTCTGTACTGTGTAGTAACTAAAATTTCTGTGAATTTCTGTGAAATGAAATCTGTATGATACAGTGATTTGTATATACTTTATGATGATGATTAATTTATGATAATTTTAATTTACACATAGTGTTTTATATGCCATTGGATGTTAATCCAAATGTTAATCTCTATTGTTTGATTATAACTTAAGTTATTGGTTTTCTTTTTTAGCAAAAACATTGTCAAAACATTGTTGTTCACAGATATTGATGAGTGCAGTGCAGGTACGCATGACTGTGATCCTCAGGCCACCTGTACAAACATCGAGGCTTCCTTCAACTGCACCTGTAACACTGGGTATACAGGTGATGGAAACACCTGCACAGGTAAGAGCACACCTCTACTACAAGTATTCTATATTTGCAGTATAGATAACATTGTAAAATGTGAAGTACATGTAGAAAGGTAACATTTGCAAAGCAAATATATAATGTTTACCTTCACATACCGTCTGCTCTGTTAATTCTTACTCCAACATGTTAATATATATGGTGACAGGAGTCTAAATCCCTCCTGCTGTAAAATTGCAACATGATGTAACCCAACACTAGATACCATAGTGAGAGATGTCTGGTTTAAGTAATTGACATTATTTTTTGGAGAAGAAGAAAATAAAGAAACGGAGCAAATACAATATGTTTTTCTTCTTTGATGGTAAACATACCAATACAACTCAAACAGAAATTAAAATCAATCTGAACAGGCTTATTTAACACAATTGAAACTGCAGACATTATAGGCATCGAACGCAATTTTGAGATGGCAAATAAAAAAGAAATATTCTGGATGAGGAAATCTGTCTGATGTTGACATTTACTGCAATTTCTTAGGACATTTTTATCATCATTGTTTTGTGTAACAAAAACTGTGAGCGCTACCAGAGGTACACTGAGGTTAATTAAAGTATTCCCTCTGGGACATACTGAACCCAACCATATCCATTACAACTTAACCCAAAGGCAATGCAGAAACACAGGCACACTCACGGACACACACACAGACATACCAGAAGCAATACCATTTTCTATTACAACCTCTGAGTCACCCAAGGGCAATGCAGAAACTCACTCACACACACACACACAGACACACACACACACAGACACACACGCACACACACAAAAACACACACAGACACACACACACACACAGAGAGAGAGAGAGACACACACAGACTCACACACACGCACAGACACACACACGCACAGACACAGACACACACACACACAGACACACACGAAGACACACACAGACAAACACACAGACACACACACAGAGACATACAAGAAGCAATACTTCCATTTTTCATGGGCTAGTTAAAAAGAAGTACAACAGAACGTGATAATCTGTTTTTACTCTACAGATATTGACGAGTGTCAGACCAGTAACGGTGGTTGTGACCGGATCTGTCTGAATGTGGAGGGAAGTTACCAGTGTGCCTGTGATGCCGGCTTCAGACTCACAGACAACATGCACTCATGTGAAGGTAAGAAGACAGATGACAATTCTATCAGCTCAGAGTTTTTGTTTTAGCTTGGTGTAAATTTGTTGCCAGATATTTGATTGACAGTACATATACAATTATAGTTTGAAAGTTTCTACGTAAGACTGAGTGTGTATCTCATTTCTGTATTCATGGAGTAATAAAAATTGTGATAAAGTTGAAGTCTTGTGCTTACTAAATTTGTTTTCTCTTAATACTACCAAATCTGAATATTATTAAAAGTTATTACCTCAGTCTACATAATGTCTACCTGTTCATACATTTGTACAGTCAAACCTGTCAAAGTGACCACCTCAACATAAGGTCTACCTGTTCAATGACCACCACTTTTGGGGTGGTCTCTTATTACCTATTATTGACACAACAATCCAGTCTATAGTGACCACCTGTCCACTTAAGTTTTATCGGACCCCTAAGTGGTTTTCTAGTGGGCAGTTATGATAGTATTACTGAAGCCATACCTGTAACTTTGGTTGGGGAAAGTCGTATTGAGGTCACCTGGTAGTGTCGAATGGCAGTCGCACAGAGCCTTGCAACAGTTCCACAAAAGTGTGTGGAGCAGATGTTATATGTATCATGACTTGTGTATTATATGATTGTAAACCCTGCATCAATTCAGCAACATAAAAGGCTGCATCAGGTAATGTTGGACCAACAGACCGATTATTACAAATTAAAACTGAAAATTGTAAATCCCCCCCCCCACAGATATAGACGAGTGTTCCGGTCCGACCCATGGTTGTACACAGTTCTGTACCAACACTGTGGGTGGGTTTGAGTGTTCCTGTAAGGACTACTACACACTCACTTCTGATGGGAAGTCATGCCAAGGTGTGTCTATTTATTTGTTTATTTGTTTGTAGGATCTACGCTGTTGTTCCCCATCTACTGAGACATGCTTCAAGCACGCCATTGCTGATGCTTGATGGCAGCTTGCCATTTTCCTCTGTTTTGAAGCTAAAAGCCTTTTTACTAAATTATTAATGTATGTAACTCAGGCATCTTAAATAGATTATATGTGCTACTTACTTTTTTCTTGAATCTGTATTTTTTTCTAACAATTTTTATGCATCTTCATTTGATTCCTTTAAACATCACTAGTCCTGAATTTACATGATTGTTTAGGGTTAAGTTTTGAAAATTATTTTGCTCTTAAAATGCTGTTAAACCATTGACCAATATTAACAGAAATGATGGTGACATGTTATCTGTTTGTTTGTTTATTAACTTGTTGTTTATCCCCCCAGCTGCCCAGTCCTGTAGTAATGACACAGCCTGTACCCAGCTCTGTGCTGTCATTAATGTAACAGAAGTGTGTGACTGTATCAGCGGGTACACCCTGGCTCAGGACCTACAGACTTGTGCAGGTAAAACTGATTGTAATTTAACAGTTTGTATCTTTAATGTCACATGATTCTTTAAAGTGTAGACAAAATGGCTCACTTGCAGTGTATTTATTGATTAATTTTCACACTGAATACACCCTTTGTGGTAAAAGAGAATGAGAAATGATGCACTAACTAAAGACTAGGTTCTACAATACTTCAGATGCTGCATTTTCTCGATCTTATAATACAATAGTCCATAGTTAGACCATACTAATTTGTTGGTTCTCAAATTAAAAAAAAGTATGAAGATCAGGTTTGTGCCTTGGTCCAAGGTGTAAATACTTAATAGAATATTCAAGTTTTCCTTCCAGCCCTCTGCTTTTATGATGTCCCCTTACAACATTTTCACCTGTCAAATGAACCGAAGAAAACAAATTGTTTTACACCTAATCATGATAGTTTTGCTTACCTGGATATTGAAGTTATGACACTGTTTTCACAGACATTGATGAGTGTGCTGCTAACATGAACAACTCGTGTGATCCTGTAAATGGTGCCTGTACAAACACTCCTGGCAGTTATAACTGTAGCTGTCAGACTGGGTATCAACTGGAGAGGAATGGAGGAACACTGTGTGAAGGTACGTATCATTAACAAACAAACAAACAAACAAACAAACAAACATGACACCTGTACAAACACTTCTGGCAGTTATAACTGTAGCTGTCAGACTGGGTATCAACTGGAGAGGAATGGGGGAACACTGTGTGAAGGTTCATATCATTAACAAACAAACACAAACACAACATGACACCTGTACAAACACACCCGGCAGTTACAATTACTGTAGCTGCTGTCAGACTGGGTATCAACTGGAGAGAAACTAGGGAACACTGTGTGAAGGTATGTATCATAAACAAATCAACAAACAAACAAACATTAATTAATTAAATTAATAGAGCAGTTGAATATTTTCAAACTGGATACTATTAGGAATTTTAATAGGTGGACATTTCAGGTATCTTTCTTCAGTACAAATGTTTATAGAGGAATTTACAGAACTAGAAATAAGTTCTAAATAAACAAAAAACAGTCAATGTTCTAAAGAAGACAAACCTTCTTTAGAACATTGACTGTTTTTTTGTTGTTACCACAGTGCCTAATATATGAAAAAGCATTTTCTCACTAATTATGTAATCAGGTTAAACTGATACCCAATTACCTACGATGCAGTACATGTAGTTAACACCTCTTTCATGCTTTTATTGATAATTGCAGATATTGATGAGTGCAGCACATCTAACGGAGGCTGCGGACAGGTGTGTGAAAACAGCCCTGGGACCTTCTCCTGTGACTGTAACCATGGTTACACACTGGGGGCTGATGGGAAGGCTTGCGATGGTACGTGGCACCAAGTTTCGTGTAACTGTTAATTATCTGAGTGTGTGTTTCTGCCATTTTCAATTCACTGACAGGTAGAATTAGTGATGCATACCGGTTCACTGGACTTGGATCCGGACTTGTAAGAACATTTAGGTTCAAGTCCAAAAAAAACTAAAAGTCAAGAACCGAGTCCGGACTTATTACCATAAAAGACCATTTCACATACCTCCTTTCTTTCCAAACCACCTAAAACCATCCGTAGATTGCAAAATCTTTGCTGCAAAATGAAGAAAACATTGCCATCGGGCATCGTCAAGTACTGGCTTCCATGTTATGTGGCCAAAGTTTCACTCAGACAACATTGCAAGGTTGCCTACATGCAATTTTGAATATGTCATGGGTTTAGGTCTGGACTTACAAATCCGGAACTGAACCTTTTATTAACCTCTGGACTTGAATCTGGACCTGAACCTAAAATTGGGTTTAGGTATGCATCACTAGGTAGAATACACAAAGCATTATTTCCATTCAAGATATACTTTAAATTTTTACTTCGATTTTTTAGCAGACTACACCTGTCCTAAGATTTAAAAGAAGCATTGGTAAGGGATGAAGTCTGTCATCCCTGATTTCCTGAATAATGTTTAACTTAATATTTTTCTGCCTTGTTCAGATATTGACGAATGTGCCCTGAACACTGACGGCTGTGAACATGGCTGTACCAACACCAATGGCTCCTATGTCTGTTCTTGTCCACAAGGACTCAAACTGGACAATACTGGCTCCAACTGTGTGGGTGAGTAGTGGAAAATAAGTAAATGAATGAATGAATGAACAAGTGTCCATAGGTGACAATTCTCCGTGAAGTTTTATAGTTTGCAGATTGAGAACAGTAATAGTGTATTTAAACAGTGTGTGATCACTTATCAACTGGTAGCAACGTATAGTAAAATTGGCTAAATCCCTTGTCTTAGTCTAATAATCTAGCCTGACTAAGAAATCGCACTCCTGGTGGCCACCTGCCCAGAGGTTTGCCGCCTCTCTTGGGGAAACAGTTGCAGACTGACTAGTGTAAACACAGGCCACATAAAATCAACAACACGACAATCTCAATAGGTGAACAAACTCAGCTTTCATAACGATATCTTTCATTTACTACATATTATTCATTTGACGATGTATCGCAGTAGGTGCAAACCACAATTCCAAAAAATTACCACCATTATGCACAACAGTCACCTAATATCTGCTTAGAGAACCTCTGCTACCTGGGAAAACTACCTAAAACTACGGCCTATGCCTGGGATGTTTCTAAAATATGCATTTACTTCAATATCAAAACCGCTACCGGTGAATATAAAAAGACGTGCATCATCACGGACAAAATGGTACACCACATGCCTAATTACACAGAAATGCTACGTACAGAACAATGCGTTTTGGCTGCGAACATATCTTCCAAAAATCTTAAGCATACCTAAAGCACGGGGACAAAACATCTGGTACCACTTATCGGCCCCTCTCCACATCTGCTTGATGTTTGCCCGACTCCCCCGCTATTCCAAACAACGGGTTTTTCTGGACCATTCCAATTTGCCTCAAAATTGTAGGGGTGAATTTAAAACATTACATTGACCGCGAAAGCAGCAACGGCAAAAAAAACACATTCGTGCATCATCACGGGTATGCCCGCAGATGGCGTATAAAGTTGCATACCAATTACACAAAGAGAACCCAGTGTTTTGACTGCGAACACGAAAAAATGGCTGTTCACAACACTCCTTCCAGAGGTCCAGACCTCCTTCACGGAGTAATGGATGCATGAATGAATGAATGAATGTCTAGAATTCAAACTTTTGATGTTCCAACACAAAGAATGGTTCTCAACCAGAGGTTTTTTAGACCTCAATAGACTGACCCATTCAGACTTGTCACGTTGCTTCTCTGGTGTGTTACATCAGATGTCAACGTCAACACTGGGTCACTCCATTGAAAAAGACCAGAGTGACTGCGAAATCTCAAGGTGGTTAGAGAACACTCTCTTGTGAAGTAACAAAATTTTTCATTTAAAACATTAAACATACAAACCCTGGTTGAAAACTTTAATAGGTATATTGCCTGAAACAGAAGGGTGCTCAATACACCCTATCGTGAACTTATTTTGTCTTACAACAACATGTATATACACTTGTGGAATAAAGGAAAATTGTATGAGAAATGAAGAAAACATAACAGGCATGTACCTGTGTTTTTTCCAGCTGCGGATGCTTGCCTGAACCGCACCTGCTCACCTGCAGACATTGCCACCTGTGCAGTCGTATCAGGTGCAGAGACTTGCATGTGTGCAGCTGGGTATGAACTAGGGGCTGACACCACTGTGTGCCAGGGTAAGTACATTATGTAGAATGGTTTTAGTAATATTGATCTTATAGATTGATACAGCTTTTTAAGTCATACCTGAGCTGCGATTATGTTCGATACGGGTGTTCCCGGCCCGTGTGATAACTAGCGGTACAGCCCGGGGGTTCTTTACACGTACGGCCCGGCCCTTCCAAATGTTCCATAGAACGATTCAAACACGTCTCACCCTAACCACATGCGGCACATTCGATTACAAAATTCGGACATCGAAATTGATGTTGCTTTTTTTGGGTTTAGGGACACCAAATTTTCGCTCATTTAGCATTGAAAGGCGTGTTTTCGTGGGTGGGTATGACATAAATAAAATACAACACGGTGTATTCCGCATCACCCTCGGTCCCAGCCCTCCCGCGGATCGGATCTCCTTCCGGTCTTCGGTCGTCAGGCGATCCGACGCGCGGTCGGGCTGGTGCCACGGGCGATACGGAATGCCGCATGCTGTATATTATGATTGTACAGGCCACTGGCAGGGTTCCGAACTAATCAGTACTGTTTTTAGAAACTCTATTTTAAAATAAGTGACACTGTCATGATTGAAACACTTGAAATGTAACACTTGTACACCAAAACTATTCACATTAAAATACAGTTGATCATTAAGATAGATTGTTAAAATGTTGTCTTCTGGTAATCATATTTCATTTCATATTGCAATATGCCTAAGATTATTTTGTAACAACATGTTGCTCTGTATGACACCTTTGATGAATTCTGAGAATGTACTAAAAACGACTGCAGGAGTAAGCCCAAAATTTGATGCAAAGAAAGGCAACAAACTAAGGACATACAAAACATTCAAAGAGATTTATGAAATAGAAATATATTTAAACATTACAAACTTCGAACATCGCAGTGTAAACTTCGCTTTAGTGACCATACCTTACGTATAGAATCCAACAGGCATGGCCATACCCGTCTGAAAGATAGAACGTGCGAATTCTGTAATCATTTATATGTTGAAAACGAGACACACTTTCTACTTGACTGTGCATTATATAAAGATGAGCATCAAGAACTATTCGATACTTAACAATTAGTCAAGATATGTAAGAAAATGTCAAAGCAGGGCACTTGATCTCATGCAAGAACGCATGTATAGCAGCCTCACAAACTAATATTGTAACTATGTTTCCGAATGTTTGAAAAAGAGAAAAGAAAGGGCATTACACTAACAGTAGATGATAGGTAGTATATAGTATTGTTGTAATGTACAGATTCCTAGCAATTAACATTAGAATATAGCGTTCCAGTATTTTGCATACTGCATGTCCTCTTGTGCATTTAGCCCTTCTGGGCAAGAACACGCAATAAAGATTCATACATTTTTTGGGCATTCTGGAATTAACAGTTTTTGTACAATTTTAATTAAATAAACCAAATACAGATCTGATGGACTTCCGTGCTAATGTTGAGTTATTTGTTGTTGTTTCAGACATCAATGAGTGCCTTACTGTGTGTAACGGGACTAACATCGCCTGTACCAACACGGAGGGTTCCCACAGGTGTGGGTGTGTGGCAGGGTTCTACATGGAAACAGCTGAGAATGGAGCAATCAGCTGTGTCGGTGAGGAACACTCACTACATTCGGTTTGTTACAGAATAAGCAAAATACAGCTTCGTAAGATAAACAGTTACTGTTGTACTACCATAGTTAGCACATGAAACCTCTCATACATGTGGCATGGTTCTATCTAGAGAAAAATGACACCGGGGCCATCAGCCATACCAATCAGTTTATAATGGATTCAAATAGCGAATTCAAACTTTTAATACATTGTATTGACACATGACAGCCCCTGCATTGAACAAATAATGTCTCAATGCAATAATAGAATATTAATAAAAACACAGTCTAATTCCTCACCGTACAAACTTAGGTTATGTACAACATTGTGTGTTTCGAACAGACTTTCTACAAACTTAACATGTGGGATGTTATCAAAAGATGAATGGAGAAAAGTTAACTTTTTTGTTCTTTCTTCAGCCACAAAGTCCTTCTCCGGTTCAATCCGGATCACCAGTCGGAGCTACACCGCCGACCTTGCTGACCCGACTTCCGCGACCTTCAAAACTCTGGCCGCTTCTGTCAAAACTACGGTAGATTCACCCACTATTCTGTATCACTTCACAATAACTTTCTCAGCAACTGTATGATGCAATATATGGCAGTTTGTAAAGTAATACTGGAAACTTTATATCATAAAGAAAAGACTTTGAACAGCTATGAGTACAGAATGAAAACCCCTACATATCAAGGTATAGTAAGGACATAGTAAGGAAAATATCAGATTCCAGATTCAGTCTTACTGACTAATAGTACTATGGACCAAAGAAAGACCTCCACAGCTTCCATTCTTCTTGCAGTAACCTGATTATATACTAACTTAGCCTCGTCTTGTGGCATTTTGAGCCCTGACTTAATACACACCCATGCCTAGTACTGGAGCAGGTTAGGTGCAGGTAGACATCAGAAGAACTTCCACAACTTCCATTTTACCTGCACTATACCGGTGGTACTTCCAGCCCTGATTTACATGTATGTAAAACCCAAATTCATACAATTTCATGCAATGTTCCATGTAATAATGATCTTTTTTTTCTCCCTACCTGTAGTTGGATGACTTGTACACGTCCAAACTCGGTGACACTTTCAAGGGCACGGAGGTCGTAGGTTTCAGTAACGGCAGCATCGTTACCGACTACATGGTCAACCTGGAGCCCACGAGTACTGAAACGGCCGGCAGTCTGTCCACCGCACTGTCCGAAGCCATCCAGGACTCCGGCGGCAGCGGGGCGTTTTCATTTGACCCCAGCAGCATCAGTGTTACTGGTGAGGAATTGAGGAATTTTGTAATGTTAAGCCCCTAGCTCATATTCTCAAATTTGGCCTCCAAAATACTAGCCAAACACCACCCAACAATGGGTTAGGAGCAAAGTCAACTGGTGTTTGGTGAATTTGGGTGCTGGTCAATCTTGGTTAGCTGGTATTCTGCTGTACATGTAAGTCTGCAGTGTTTGGGGTATGTTTAGTGGTCAAATTTGAATTTAAATTTAACTCAAATGTGTTTTGATTTGTAAAGAAAGGTACCATAGGTGTATCTTAAATCTAGTGAGTGGTCTAAAATGTCAACTGAACCTGGTTGGCTGGTGTTCAGGAACAATTTCAGGGGAAGATCTTGAATTTGTGACTGTCACAGGGGCTTTAGCCTGACTACATCCTGACTACAAATGCTCCAGTGCAGATGCTAACAGCTGCCACATGCAGGTGTTCACCTGTACAGCTACACCCATTTTTTGTCTGCACCTGTACTACATGTAATATAATTATTTATTTTTCCATTCTTCAGATGTGGACGAGTGCTCCAGCGCAGATGCTAACAGCTGCCACATGCAGGCCGCCTGCACCAACACGGAGGGTTCCTACACCTGCACCTGCCTTACAGGCTACACAGATGCCTCACCTGTGGGCACCAAGTCTGGCTCTGTGTGTGAAGGTGGGTACAAGCAATAAAGCAATAATCAATCACATGAAGCCATTTGTGCTTGGACAGATGTTAACTAATAATAACCAGCTGTTCTCCATGACTAGGTAACTAGCCACCTATACCCCCTGACTAGCTAAAACAGCGAGCAGATTATTATTGGAATGAGCAGAGCACTTTGGACTAATGCCTCTGACTATTTACAGCGTAGAGGTACATATCCAATCTTTTGTCAAAAACTTCTCTGTTACATAACGGATCATAATGACCCCCAGCGGGGGTCTTCACGCTTCGTTAAAAATCGAAAAATATCAAGATTTATTTCAAAGATCTCAATATTTTAGACGAAATCTTGAGATGTTATAAGACAATCTTGAGATTTTTCATGACAAGCATCTCGAGATGCTATGGAAAAATCTTAAGATGCTTTGAAAACATTTGGAAAGATCTTGAGACCTTTTGTTTTCATCTCAAGATTTTCTGAAAGATCTGGAGATTGTCATGAAAAATCTCAAGATTGCCTCATTAGATCTCAAGATTTTGTCAAAAATATTGAGATTTCTCAATTTTTAACGAAGCGTGAAGACCCCCACTGGGGGTCATTATGATCTGCTATGTAACAGAGAAGTTTTTGACAAAATATTGGATATGTACCTCTAAGCTGTAAATAGTCAGAGGCATTAGTCCAAAGTGCTCTGCTCATTCCAATAATAATCTGCTCGCTGTTCTAACTAACCAGCTGTTCCCCATGACTAGCTAAATAACCAGCTACGTCGATGAAGGTTATACATCCAGGTAATACGATACGCCAAAAAGGAGTTACTCAAGCAACTGGATATGATTTTGAAAACGTCAGGCGTTTCAGCTAGTATCCACTTACTAGCTTTCGTCAGTGACTGAGAGACCAGAGGGGGAATGCAGGTTTATAAGCACAACCTATTGATTGATATGCAAATAAAGTGAAGACAAATTTTTGGAAGTCGAGAAAGGAACAAAAGTCAGACAAGTCAAGACAAGATGATGCAACTTAGTCTGAAAGCTCCTGTTATACAGAACAGGAGCTTATGTGTTGTCTGCCCTCGAGGCTGGGAGTGCCAAATCCCAAGTGCCGGAAAGATCGACCCGTAGCCCCCCTTCCCTGTTGAGGGTGGGGTTGTACTTCTTTCATATATTGCCTCTTTAACACCCAGTCCCCAACTTCAAGCCTCACTCAACCCTCAGACAAAGACTGGTACACCCTAAGGACCGACCTCACAAAGGTACAAAGGCGAATGTTATTTACAGACTCAAATGTGAGGGGAACAATTGTAACAACACCTACATCGGAGAGACAAGTCGACCACTCAAAGTAAGATACAAAGAACATTGCCGACCTAGTGCCAACGGCTAGTCCTCAGCTATTTTCCACCACCTAAAACACAACCAGGGTCACTCTTTCAAACTCGAGTCCACGGATATCTTAGACCGCGAAACACGCTGGTGGGAACGGGGTGTTAAAGAGGCAATATATGAAAGAATGTACAACCCCACCCTCAACAGGGAAGGGAAGTTCTGCATAACAGGAGCTTTCAGACTAATTTGCATCATCTTGTCTGACTTTTGTTCCTTTCTCGACTTCCAAAAATTTGTCTTCACTTTATTTGCATATCAATCAATAGGTTGTGCTTATAAACCTGCATTCCCCGTCTGGTCTCTCAGTCACTGACGAAAGCTAGTGGATACTAGCTGAAACGTCTGACGTTTTCAAAATCATATCCAGTTGCTTGTATGTATGTATTGAGTAACTACTTTTTGGCGGTTAGCTGTTCCCTGTGACTAGCTAACCAGCTGTTCCCCATGACTAGCTAAATAACCAGCTGTTCCCCGTGACTAGCTAAATAACCAGCTGTTCCCCATAACTAGCTAAAATAACTAGCTGTTCCCCGTGACTAGCTAACCAGCTGTTCCCAATGTCTAGCTAACCAGCCATTCCCCATGACTAGCTAACCAGCCATTCTCCTTGACTAGCTAACCAGTCAGCTGTTCCCCATGACTAGCTAACTAATCAGCTGTTCCCTATGACAAGCTAACTAGCTGTTCTCTATGACTAGCTAACTAGTCAGCTGTTCCCCATGACTAGCTAACTAATGAGCTGTTCCCTATGACAAGCTAACTAGCTGTTCTCCCCAGCTGTGCGCCCGGCTGCCCGGGGAAGGACAACACGCTGGCCATCGCGTTGGGAGTGACCTGTGGCCTGCTGGCCATCATCATTGTCGTCGCTCTGGTCTTCTTCCTCATGCACAAGAACAAAACTGTAAGTTGTTTGTGTTTTTGATCATGTCAATCATGCCATAATACATCTGTCCAGCTTTTATACAACTACATTTTGTACATCAGAATAGTCATAGCATCACAATCATCTGAGTTTCAATTTTAGAAATATATATAGAAATGACATATTCCTTAATTTTTTTCTTGGTTTATATTTGTTTTTTAACTACCAGAAATCATCTCTCTGCATTTTTTCACAGTAGTTGAGTACATGCATTTTTCACACTATGGTGTAATGTTGCTGACTGCGTTTGCTTGCTTTTTTCTGAATCAAATTGCATTTTTCCATGACATTTTCTAACTTTATATTTATGATTTGCTTTGCAGGGAGCAACAAAGATCACTCCAGTCAGAAGTGCATCAGAATAAAAAAAGTACCAAACCACACAACATTCATTTTAAATTCACACTAATTAGTAGTTCTACATTTTAAATAAATCCTTAATTGCTATAAAATCATTTTCTTGTATTTCAAAAAACGTATGTACTGAGACTTAAAACTAGGGATTGTTCAGAAGATATATAGGGGATTAGGCCACACCAATTAAATTTCTTGGTTCTCAGGCAATGTGTAAGTAAAATTAAAAATAAGAGGATAAAATGAAAACAGAGGGCTGGAATCAAAACTTGTATTTGAATATATTCACTCATTGAAATTAACAATGTACAGACTTTCCCCATAGAATCTGTCTTCATGTTATCTTTCTGTTCAGTATTTCTTTTGGATCTGAAACCAGGAAAATTAATTGGTTTGGCCCTATGTGTGCTTGCACTTGTAATGCCATGACCATTTCAGCAGATTGTATGATTTCTGTTTGGTGAAAGACTTTAAGAAGTTAGAACGCTGGAGGTAAAGTTGTATAATTCTGTGTGCAATTTGTCTATAGTTAAGCCTATGTGTGACTCAATAATAGATGAATAATATAATAAGGCATCGTTTTATTTTTTTGCTCTCATAGACTTTTCAAAATGTTAGTACTAGTATCCTGCTATTTTCATGTATCAATGCTTAGCAAGAGCTATTTTTCCAACTACGTCTTCAAGTTGTTGCCCAGTAACATTCCCCATATGACAGGTTTCTGACAAGCCGAATGGCTTATTATGTGTTGTAAAAATTCAACTACCTTACAACAGTGCCTAGTCAGGAAAAACGCACATAAACACTTTTAATGATGCCTGTTATTATTGTAAATAGTTCATTGCAATATCCTGTGTTCTAGATTTGCCTTAACAGTACAAAATTAATGATTAAAAATATATAGTTTATCAAAAGAAACTCTATACTGTACTTGTGCCATTGTGACACTTATTTTGGATGATGTTTACATATTAACTGTTACATGCATATTGGAGCCTAATTTTTTTATTGGACTAAAAGTGGTATAACAGCTAATGTTTTAATGCTACCCAGGAGCAGTACTGATCAGACTTTTTTCCTTACTTAAATCCTTATCAATGTAGTAGAAGACATATTGTCATGTATTTTACTTAAAGTTAAGTAAAAAGGTAATAGAACATTCATAATATAAACCAAACTGATAAAATCATTTCTAAGATGCTTCAAGTATGTCAATCTCCCTTCACATATAACGCTATAATTCATATTCTATATATATTTTGTGTGCATATTTTGTGTGCATGTTTGTTGGTGAGTTTAAAAGGTGACTGGACAATAAACATTGTTGTCGTCAGCTATTTGGAATCTGTTTTTTCTGTGTTTGATGATGAATTCATGTTCACTTGACTTTTAGATCTTTCAAATGAGTTAAACAGTTCCCGATAAATTTATGACTATTCAACTAACGTTATAACCAGAAAGTCGGGTGAGTTCCAAGGTCAAGAACAAAAGCTGGGAAGACCTGGAGTAAAAACCCATAAGAGCCCAGCTTGTTTCTTTAAGTCTTGAAATGGCCAAATCTGGGAATGAGCGAGGCTTCTTTCGCGAGCCGGATGAACTTCAGCTTTTCAAATTTCAGAAAAATAAAACTTTTGGCATTTTCGGCCTCCTCGTTTCCAGGGTGTACTCCATGTGATCTCCATTCAATTCCTTATTATTGCCTAGCGCTTTTGCTCATATTCTCTTCATTCCCGAGTTACACGTAAAAATGTGATTTTGCAATCAACTGATTACAGTTTTTGGAGAAGTGGAGTTTCATTAACAATATGCATGGAAAGCAAGCAGATGGTGGGAGGTAAAATCGTAACTTTCGGTATTGTCATAGTATACGCCTGGCATCTGTCTCCATTCATATGACACCAAAAAATACAGAAATTGATTTCCTTTGTAACTTGTTTATAACACAATTAGCCGGGTTGACTGGCATTTCCGCCTTCCCTGATCACATAATTTTCTATAAGGCCACACCAAGTAAATCTTATGGATGACGTCCGCGCGCGCATTGATTTTGGCCTGTTCCTAGAAAAAAAAACAAGAAATTCTGCTTCCTGTAACTATGACCAAAGAGTCACTACAGTGCCTCAAATCGTCAGATTGACGTGAAACCCGTAACGCGAAAACAGGACAGGACGACATCTGCTGTTCCACCTGATTTATTGCTGTTTTGATGATGAATAAAAGACTTCTTGCTTGTTACACTGTGTCACCTCATTCAATTTGTGTCCTAACATTTGTCATCTCTTAGTATATTTCTAATCTAGGCATCTTGTTTTTTAGGGCCTTTCTTGTTTTCTTTTTCGCCCTCTCGCATTAGATTTAGGGTCTCCAAAGGACGTCATCCATAAAATTTACTTGGTGTGGCCTAAAGGCAGTTCTTTCAACTATGTAGCCTGTCCGGACGAAGATAATTGTCCCAACTAGTCCCGTTCGTCTGAAAACTCTTCAAAACGTCAGTTCTTTACATGAAAGTATAGCAGCTTTTTAGTTTCGAGTCGGCTGTCCATATTTGGTCATGAAAATAACGTCATCTTTGTTTCCAACCAATCACCAACGAGGAAGGTCGTGATAAGGAATGAGCCAGTCAGCATCAATGACTAATGAATGTTTCCACAATGAGAACTTATCAGCATCAAGGATACATGTTAACGGCCCTCAACGCCATGGATCAAAAGCGACCTCTAGCGTCCAAAAGACGTGCATCATCACGGGCATAATGGCACACCACATGCCAAAGTACACAGAAATACTACGTACAGAACCACTTGTACACTTACTCCGGAGTAATCATATATATACTCCAAAGTTCATGTATATGCACATACGATATATCTACACATGATATCTGTAACAGACCACCGTGACAAATATACTTACATGCTACAACCGATATATATCTTCTTCTTCTTCTTCTTCCTCTAACAACCCCGTAAGGGGTATCGCTGAGGGGGGGGGGAGGTGCGTGGACCTTACAGTAGAGAGGCCCGAAAGGCCTCCACAGATTGTGCCTGTACGGCCTGGGCAGGTAAACTGTTCCACTCTCGTATCGAGCGTGGGAAAAATGAGAATTTGAAACAGTCTTTCGTTGCAGGAATAATATTGTATTTAAAGGCGTGGCTACCTCTGGTGCGCCGCTGTGCAGGAATAAGATATTGTTCAGAGGGTATGTGCATGTGACCGTGAGTTATTTTGAACATTGTAGTCAGACGTGCCTCTCTTCTTCTGTTTGCAAGAGTGGGCCATTGGAGTTTTTGCAACATTTCGGTCACACTACTGGTGCGGGCGTAGTCATTCATGACCATCCGGGCTGCCCTGCGTTGTACGCGCTC